GCAGCTGTCATGAATGGGATCATTTTCCATTATATTTCCTAAATAGTGATTGTTTGTTGAAGAGTTTAAATGGGGAAGTGGCATGGTAGCAGCTCTTCTGGGGATGTGGGGAGGGACTGGCCTGGCAGGAGGTGGGGAGGCGGGTAGCCTGGTCGGGAATTGTGGCGTCTGTAGGGCCCGCTGCCTGGGGAACATGCTTTGATGCTCTGTGAGCTTTGCCACTTCTGTTATCCCAGTTTTTCCCTCATCGGCAGTTTTTTCTTCCCTTGTGGCTTCTTTGAAGTAAACTCTTCAAGAGAATGACTCAACTCCCAGGCGTATTTAACCCACCCTCTGGAAATAGGCCTCTGAGGCCCAAGTTCGACTTTCAAGGAGGTGTGAGTGTTGATGCAATCTCAGGATGACATTAGAACCCTTCCCTCTGAAAAAGTCAAAAGGTTATTTAAGCCCCCCCTCCTTTTCCCTCCTTCCTCAGACTCTAGCACACACAGAGATGGCGAAGCTCCCACGAAGCTGCTTCCAATTAGTCTGCGGTCTTCAGGAGTCATTTCTCTGCCTGTTTCTCAAAAGGGAGGCTGTTTGAAAATATGGTAAGATGAAAAGATCACCCTGGAGAGGAAATCTGGCAGATGCCTCTCTCAGGAGTGTGAATGCGACTGATTTCTTCCTCCTCCTAAAGTGCCTCTGAGAACTAGGCCAGGCAAGAACAGGACATTTTAAAAAATGAAAATGAAAAACACCTAAAAGGGCTTCTGTGTAAAAAGATTCCAAGAGCTCGGATGTATGTAGGGGCTCTGTGGGGGTGTGATTTAGAGAAAGGTGTGAGTGCTACATCCCAACACCACCCCACAAAGAAAATGGCACCAAGCATTTTTGAAAGATGGCTCCAAGGCTGGTCCTATTTCTTCCATGTTCTGCCAACCTTGGTCCAAAGAAGAGAGGCTTGGGGCCAATATCCCAGCCCCCAGAAGCTCCAGCTGTCCTCTTCTCCCTTTGATTTGCTCTACTCTGTCCCCCGAGGAGTGGTTCACTCCATTAGTCTTACTTCTAAGAAGGTGTCTCAAAGACAGGACAGTTCCCACCCTGCTCCCTGGTTCTGGGGTTTCCAGAGTCCAGCAGGAAACTGACACAGCAGGGCCTGCTCCTGGCAGGACTCCCAGGCCCCTGCTCTCTAGCTCTCAGCTTTTCCCCCTGTGCCTGGCTGGGTGCCTGGCCCTGACTGTGCCTGTGCCCACGCCTGCACTGGGAACAGAGGGCCGCCCTAGTTACATGGTGCTACATCCTGGGGGCAGATGCAGGCACTACTCTTGAGATTGGAGTCACAGCTGTGCTATCTGTTTCTAGCTTTTGTCTACCCTGTGAGTAGCTGAGTATCTCAACCCATGTCTGCACTAGAGATTGCACTATCAACATCTCCCTGCTCTTTCCCACATTTGTACTAGGTAACCTGGTTCCTGGCCACTGCTCACTGGACCAGCTTTGTCTCAGGATCCAGAGGCTCTATTGGCCAGTGGAGGTATAAGGTCACGAAGACTCTCTTCTAGGGAAGCCAGGAGCATGAATGAGTAACTTCTAGTTTTTTGGTGCAGAAATCTAGTCTTGCAGAGGAAGTGGGGCAGATGAATAGAGAAAAGCAACAAGAGCTGGACAGAGGAGGTGCCTTTTAAGTATTCTTTTTTTTTTTTTTAATTATTTTACTGAGGTCATATTGGCTTATAACATTGTGTAGATTTCAAGTGTACATTATTATATATCAGTTTCTGTATAGACTGCATCATGTTCACTACCAATAGTCTAGTTTTTATCCATCACCATATATATGTGCCCCTTTACCCCTTTCACCTTTCTCCCACCCTTTCCCCTCTGGTAACCACTAATCTGTTCTCTTTATCCATGTTTGTTTATCTTCCACATATGAGTGAAATCATACGGTGTTTGTCTTTCTCTGTCTGGCTTATTTCATTTCAGCATAATATCCTTAAGGTCCATCCATGTCGTCACAAATGGCACAATTTTGTCTTTTGTCTTTGTGTATATATATATATACATACACACATATATACACCACATCTTCTTTAGCCATTCATCCATTGATGGGTACTTGGGTTGCTTCCACGTCTTGGCTATTGTGAAAAGATGCTTAGCAGTATCTTTTTGAATGCCATGTCTACTCAGCCAAGGGAAACAAAAGAAAAAATAAGCAAATAGGACTACATCAGACTAAAAAGCTTCTGCAAGGCAAAGGAAACCACGATCAAAACAAAAAGACAAGCAACTGGGAGAAAATATTTGCAAATCATATACCCGACAAGGGGTTCATTTCCAAAACGTATAAAGAACTCATACAACTCAACAACAACAAAACAAACTACCCTATCAAAAAATGGGCAGAGGATATGAACAGACATTTTTCCAAAGAAGATATACAGATAGAACATGAAAAGATGTTCAACATCACTAATTATTAGGGAAACGCAAATCAAAACTACAACAAGATATCACCTCACGCCCATCAGAATGGCTATAACCACCAAGACAAGAAATAGAGGTTAGAGGATGTGGCCAAAAGGGAACCCTCATACACTGCTGGTGGGAATGCAAACTGATGTAGCCACTATGGAGAACAGTATGGAAATTTCTCAAAAAATTAAAAATAGAAATATAATATGATCCAGCTATCTCACTACTGGGTATTTATTCAAAAAATATGAAATCAACAATTCAGAGATTTATGCATCCCGATGTTCATCACAGCATTAAGTATTCTTAAAATAAACCCCCATTTCACTTGAGTTTCTGTTAGCGGTTTTCTAATCCTAGAAACCAAGCAAAAGCAATCCCTGTCCGGGTCATACTCATTGCCCAACCCAAGCTGAGGGGCTAGGGAACCTAATTCAGACCCAGATCTCTATGATAGAACAAAACAACAGACTTGCATACTTTTAGCCAGCCCCTGCTCTATGCCATGCCTCATTACTATTGTTTCATAGGTGAGAGAAGTCCGAAGGGCTAATTAACACCAAGAGACAGTCAAGCATAGCAGTTAAGAGGATGGGCTTTCGAGTAAAGACAGTTCCAAGTTTGAATCTGGGCCCAATCTCCTTAAAGATTTATGACTTTGCTTGTTTTTAAACTTCTCTTACAAACTTCAATTTCCTTGTCCATAAAACAGGGAAAATAACAATGCTTACCTTACAGGACATGGCATCCGTTAAGTGGATGCAATACAAGCACACCTGGTGAACATTCCATGTTAGCTTTAGTAAAGCCCCAAGTGACAGCGCCGAGCCTCATATGCAGGTGCATCTGGCTTCGCAGCCCTGGCTCTGCGCACCCAGCGTGGGCCCTTGAAAGGATCGGACAGATTTCTCAATCACACCACCGCAAGACATTTTGAAAGGGTGATGCAAGGCGTTTTCACTAAGGCTGTTACCTGTTCTGTAAATCTGAGAGCTGAAACTGTAACATTTACGTGTGTCCTGGATCTAAGACCGGTTACACAATGCTGTTTCACATTGGAACATATTGGGGAAAGGAGAAAGAAATCATTGAAATGAGCTTTACTCGGATCCTTCCTGAAATAGCGCATCTGAAGTGGATCTTGTAGTAACACGTACCAGACCTTGGGTACAAAGTATATGCCTTTCAGATGCTAAGAAGAGCGAGCTTATATAATTAAGTGCTGCCACTTCTTTCAAGCCTTTACCCATAATCCTAAGAACTAGTTTTGGAAATCTAATAACGCCTGTCACATCTGTCAACACATTTTCCTGTAGTCTTAGGGCACTCATGGATGGCCCATCATGTGTTAACCTTATCCAGTCACTCAGCCTGAATTTCATTCTCCTTAATTTTGAAGAACCCATACTTCCTTCCTAGGTGTTGCTATGAAATTAAAAATGAATGTAAAGGAAATTTATAAATTGTAAAGTTGGACATAAAAGTGTTTTAATATTATTAAAGGCTTTAAAAAAAAACACTAGTCAAAGTATTCAAAATGTTGCGTAAATAGCTCAGTTGGAAAAAGAATGCAGAGCACAAACATGAGTCAAGACCTCTGCTCCATTTCCAGCCCTACTCCTGACTCAGGCTACAGACAACCTGTGTCCAAGCTGCCACTGGGAAATGCTGGAGTAGTGAATCAGGCCTTAGAGAAAACGGTTTAAACAAACAGCCAGTGATAAATAGATGTTATTTTTGCTTTAAAAGTTTTATCTTTAACTTTACGAAGCTCAACATCATTCACAGCTGAGGAATCCTATGAAGGGGTCTACATCTATAGAAGGCTCAATTTCTGGTCCCAAATTTTCTATCAAAGTGACACCCTTCAAATCACAGCCCAGGTTTAGGAAAGCTTCATTTCCCACCTGTGTAGACACTCCTGCTTCCCGCATATATATCCTCCAAGATAACAAACAAAATCCTATTTCCAAAATCCTATTTCCTATTTTATTTCATGTATTGTTTGATGTTAAACTTTCCTAGGTTTTGCATCTAATGTGTGTCGGTGTGCAAACTCTATCTAATTCTAGAGACACATGGCAGTTGAGTACCCAAGAAAACACAGGTGAGTGCCACATGCTTCCTAGGCATGCTGGAGGAGCTCTTGTTTTAAGCCAAGAGACTAGAAAGGAGCACCTGCAGAAGTGAGAGCTACCCCGTGCTCCCTCAGTCACACCCTCAGGGGCTTCCTGTTTGATGACACTCCCGCATACCAATGTGTGGTCCAAAATGGAATCTCTTTCATCTTTCACCACATTCTTAAAAAACACAGAGAAGACATCATAAATTAACTGACCTTAAATGAATGTAAAAAAAAAAAAAGTTGGGGACATAGATTTGGTTATTTAGATTATTAAAAATATTTATTACAAGCAGATTCCCTTTCCCATATTGAAAAGAAAACATATGACTGGAAACACTCAGAGAATGGAAACTGGGTGAAACCAATTCCCAAGTCCTTATCAAATAAGGTATCAATAAAGGAAAAGATATTTTGGAACTTAAAATTAGGGAAGCCTATACACAATTCAGATAAGGGGAAAGAGAAAAAAAACAAACTAACCAAAATAAAGTCAGAATGATTATTTACATTTTACAGTCTTTAATTAAGCACATAAAACTGTACTATTTAATATATTTCTCCATGAACTTTTTGTGAAATTCAGATCGCAGCGTATCATTTACAAATCTTTTGTCTTTCTTCTGATCATCTACACCTTTTGCACAGTTCTTGAAAACCACATCGTCATCCCACCTGAAGGACAAAAAGAAAACAGAACGCTCTTATAAAGCTTGTTTATCAGGAGACAAGAACACCGTGTGAACTGAAAAGCTTAGTCATTACAGAAAGACACTCAACATGTACATCCTTCAATGCAGCAATTACACCCAAAGAATAAAGCAATTCTTAATAGGTTGTAATCTTGCTTTATTATAGCAGGAAGGGCAATTCCTATTCAGAACACAAAACATTTTTATTATTTCTCCAGTATAAGAAACTTTGAGTTAAAAAGCAGAAACTACATAAATTTTAATTGCATAAATATTTAGTGTTTTCAGGTCTAAATCAAAGTGGCAGCACCTGGCACTACCATGATTAGTAGAAGCTCTAGATGATAACTGACCAATTTACCGCAGTTTAGATTATGTGGTTTGAAGGATTTATATACTCTTTCATCAGTTAACATTTAGCAATCATCCACTGTAGTATTCACATTTTGTTTGGTCGGTTTTTTTTTACTGAGTTGTAATTGACATACGGTATTATATTAGTTTCAGGTCTAAGTATTTACACTTTAGGACAACGAAAAGAGAAGAAACTATTGGGGTCTAACAATCAAGGCTCATGTACTGGCCCACATCTATACTGACCACCAAGAAACAGCAGCTGAAGAGCTTAGGGCAGGACTCGGGTTGGATTCTTCTGGTTGGATTTCATAATGTATAAGCATAAAAAAAAACCCCACAGATGGACTACAAAACACATGTTTTCTAGAAAATAACGAATATGATTTCAAAATATCATCTAGCATATACAACCCAAACCCATATATGTAATATATACTCTCACAAATATATATAAAATGAAAGCCCATATAATGTGTGTGCATGCCAGAAGAAACTGCACATGGAAAATAAGCAAACAACGTGGGCATCTTTGGAAAACAGTGTTACTATAAAGTCTGCACTGGTGCAGTACACAGAAATGTGAAAAGTTGAGCAGAGCTGGGTCACATGTGACCTGCATATTAAGACATGTTACAATCTCCAAACAATCCCATCTGCATCCAAACAAGGCAGAACAAGCTATATAGTTTATAAATATAATCAATGTTGTTTTTTCTCTATCCACTCTCTCCTCAACTGACTCCCAACAGGCTTTCAGCCCCTCCCTCTCAACACCAAAACTGCTCTTCTACACTGCTAAATGCAACGGCCACTTTGCAGTACCCATTTTACTTGCCCTGTCATCAATATTTGACCTAGATAATCACTCTCCTCCTCTTGCAACACTTTGCTTGGCTTCCGAGACACCCACAGATCTCTTTTGGTTCTCCTCCTTCCTCACTGGCTGTTCCTTCTCAGCCTAGTTTTTCATTCAAAAGTCATTCAATCAAGATTTACCGAGCTCGTAGTATGTACCAGGCACTGTTCCAGGTACTGATGGCTAATCCTCTACCCAATTCTCAACATTATCCCAGGCTCGGTCCTCTGATTTCTCCTCTCTGGCTACACTCATTCCATAGGGGATCTCATCTAGTCTTCCTGGCTTCAGAAGACTTCTATAAGTTGACAGCTCTCAAATTCACTACCTCTAGCCTGGACTAACTCCAGAACCGTATATCAAGCTACTTAGCAACATTTCCCCACAGATGTATATAACATCCTAAACTCACCATGTCTTAAATCTGTCACCTCCACCACCCCCAACCTCAGTTTACATTCTTCCCTATCTCTAGCCTTTCAATTGCTCAGGTCAAATACCTTGGAGTCTAAAAAAATATTTTATCTGGTCTCTGATAAAATGTCATCTTCCCAGCAAATCCTTCCTTGACTATGCTGTTGCCATTCTAAGGACTCAAGTTTTTACTATGAATGAGTTTTGAAGCCACTGGATAGTTTAGAACAGGAGATTGTGATCTTTCACTTTAAAAGGACCATGTTGTTAAAAAAAACTGGGGGTGGGGATGGAGGGGGTGGTGTGCATGCAAGTGGGAGACCAGTTGGGGGTACCACATCACTCCAGATGGGAGACGGTAGCAGTGGAGGTGGTGAGAAATAATAGATATGGTTTAAAAGTTAAGCCTACAGGGTTCCTTCATTACCTTACATAAAATAACCAATCTCCCTCCCACTCAGCACTTCCTGTAAGCTTTTCTGTTTTATTTTCCTACGTATCACTATCCGAAGTACTATATACAGTATTTACTGTTTGTATTCTCTCCCTCTTCAGCCTCTTCTTCACCCTTCCAAACAAACAAACTGTACAGAAAAGAGCTGACATGGCAAGCCGAAGACTGCTTTCCTTAGAAAGGCCTGCTTGCAAGGTCAGCCCTTGGCTGGCATTTGGAAACCTGGATTTCAGGAATCTTCTCACTATCACTGTGCCTAGACTGTTTGTACAAATAACGTGGTTTATGCTGAACACCTGCTTTCCTTTCTCCTTCTGGAGAGTCTGGATTTTGGTATGTGCTAGGCAGAGGTTGTCTATATGACTAGCCTCCAATAAAAATCTTGGGCACGGAGTCTCTAATGGGCTTCCCTGGGCAGAAACATTGCACACATATTGCTGTATTTTCATTGCTAGGGGAAAGAATGTGCTCTGTGTGACCCCTCAGGAGAGGGACAGAGCATAAGGAAGCATGCGCACGGACTCCTTTAGCGCCTTTTCCCCTTATGATCTGCCTGTGTATCTTTACTTAGAAGTCCGGAGTCTTAGTGAGTCTCCGAACATGGAGGGTGGTCTTGGGGACCCTTGACACATACACCTAAAACGTAAGCTTTGTAGGGTTAAGGGCTCAGTGCATTCCTCTGTCCCTAGTGCTTTGAACAATATCTGGTATGCAGCTGGTTATTGTAAATATCTATTGAAAATAAGTTTATTTTCTTTCATTCTCCTTCTCCCATTATTCCAAAATCTGATTAAAAAAAGACTATCAGTGGAAAGTGGGATTTTAGAAGTTTTACGTAATACAGTTTGCTATAATACTCATAATCTGTGTGTCTATATATCTCCAACCCATTACTGTATAGTACCTTCTTTTAACTTTGAAGTTGGCCTGAGGCTGGGATGGGCCAGTGAGATTAAGGAGAGGGTTTCCACTCAGAATGTTTTCCATACGAATCCTTTCTTCTTCAGCTTTCTGTTCTTGTTCCTGTCAATGACAGGGGAAGAGTCATAGTTACTTACATTAACTCCAGGTTCAATCTTCTTAGAGATCATATTTTAAAAGACGGGTAAGGGGGCGGGCCCAGCAGCGCAAGCGGTTAAGCGCGCACACTCCGCTGCAGCGGCCCGGGGTTCGCCGGTTCGGATCCTGGGCGCACACTGACGCACTGCTTGTTAAGCCATGCTGTGGCGGCGTCCTGTATAAAGTAGAGGAAGATGCTCACGGATGTTAGCCCAGGGCCAGTCTCCCTCAGCAAAAAAGAGGAGGATTGGCACTGGATGTTAGCTCAGGGCTGGTCCTCACCAAAAAACAAAAAAAGACTGTTAAGGATTTTATGGGGGAGATGGGATAAGCCTCAAGGTAGTCTTATTTTTTGTTTGTTTTTAAGACATACCAGAAAAGTCTCACTTATCAGAATAATTTGGCATTTTTATTATAAATATTTCATGCTTGCCATCACACATTCATTGGTCTGACTGAAATTCTTGAGATGCACATTTAAATCTATTTTCTTTCTTAAAGTATATAAAATTGCTTATTTTAAGAGAGTACACCAATAAACATATTCTAATAATTTAAGAACATATTAAGTATCAAAAAGACACATTTAGCAAAGCTATTACTCAATTTTTAAAGAAGGGCTATAAATAACTATGATTAAAAGTAATTTTATTTTGAATTACTAACAATGTAAACTTGTATCTCTAGAATTGGTGACAAGTTATTGGTAACCAAGTATCTCCTAAAATCAGACAAACTATCATGTAAAAAATTATATTCAGTCAACATGCATTTCTACTAATTTACCTGAGGTTTATCCATTTTGTCATGATTTATTGTTACTGACTTCATTTTTATACCTCTCGTTCTGCATCAGTTATGACCTTGTCTTTCTACACTTTTATTAGAATTAACCTCTTTAAACTCAAATCACCCTCAGTTTCATTCTTAGAATCAGGAATATAAAAGGTCTAAATCCTTAGCCGTAAGTTCTGGATCTACCTGACTCCATGTTATCTTAAACCAAAGATAAATCCCAATTTGCTGTTTTGGGGATGACAGATTAATAGATCAAGAAAAAAGAGACTTTCTGGAAGTCAATTTAAAATGAACCTAATCAAGTGTTAGATCACTTGGAAAAATAACCTAATTTTCTATACAGGTTAATGATACTTCATTTTAATATCCCAATGTGAACAATGGATTTCTTTTTTATGAGGCCAAATAACTGGGAGGTGAGAAGATGCAACTTTCAGGGAAATAAACAGTAAAATTCCTATAGGTCACTTCTCAGACCTTAAGCAAATAAAGTCAGGAACATCCATCATCGAGTAAGAACAGATCATTTTCTAAAAATGATATATTTATTTTTAACAAATTATATTGATGCTGAAAGTGAAAAGACATTTCTCTGAGATGCTAGAAGTACAAATATGCTAAGAGCTCAAGTACAATGCATCCAAACCTATAATAATGTTAGCGATGTAATAAGGTCCTGGCCACTTTATGTTTGGAATATTATTTCCCTTAGAATTACTGGTTGATTGCCACATACAGCACTGGGAAAAAAAAAGCACCAACTCTTTCCATATTCAAGTACCAGGCACATTATGCTTCTCTGAACACAGGCGAACGGCGCTTCATGAACACAGAACATAGCCTGCAGGTCAAATCCAAATCACCGTGGTTTTGTAAATAAAATTTTACTGGAACATAGTCACACCCATTTATTTATTTATCATCCATGGCTGCTTTCGTGCTACAGCAAGAAGAGCGGAATAGCTGCGAGAGAGACTGTACGGCCTGTAAGCCTAAAATATTTACTATCTGGCCCTTTACAGAAAGTTTCCTAGCCTCTGACATAGGCTGACTGGTTTGAAAATGTTATTTTGGGACACTTCAAAAATCAGCCACTGGAAAACCAGAGAGGGTAACAGGGACAAGAGAAATAAAACTGTCATTTAACCCTAAGAAACACCGGGCCGGCCCAGTGGCTTAGCGGTTAAGTGTGCGCGCTCCGCTACTGGCGGCCCGGATTCGGATCCCGGGCGCACACCGACACACCGCTTCTCCGGCCATGCTGAGGCCGCATCCCACATACGGCAACTAGAAGGATGTGCAACTATGACATACAACTATCTACTGGGGCTTTGGGGAAGGAAAAAAAAAGGAGGAGGATTGGCAATAGATGTTAGCTCAGAGCCAGTCTTCCTCAGCAAAAAGAGGAGGATTAGCAGGGATGTTAGCTCAAGGCTGATCTCCCTCACAAAAAAAAAAGAAACACCAACACATTTTTGTACAAAGAGATTAGATGAACCTTACAAAATTGCAAGACCTTCGGTCTAAAATGTTTATCCACCCTAAGGGTCAACCAAATGCATTTAAATTGCTTGTTTCTTTATGTATCCAGAGCTGTTAGGCAAGCCAAATGAATTCGGAATAGAAAACTGCCCTCTAGTCGTGTGCGAGTGATATTAGGAAAGTTCCTATAATTTTCTGATTTCTCAAAATTAGATAAAAAATTATAAGCCATTATAGGAATTTTGCTATCCTATGCCAAATTTTGACGAGAATTATATTTAAAATATTCTTCTTCCAATCTGAATTCCAGCAGTCTTCTACTTCTGATTCCTTGCATTAACCTACGTTATTCAGTTCCCCAAGTCTTTTTCCTTCTTTTATTAAACAGAATTCTTGGCTCAAATGAAATCTTACACAGAAGCCCATAAAAAAAAGCTGAGCTGTTGTTTGAAAGGAGGCAGACATCTCTACTTGAATGTCTCATCACCTGTCAAATACAACATATTCCAAAAAGAACTCATCATCTCTTTTCTCTCTGCCTAAACATGCCCATCCTTCTGCATTCCCTGTATTAGTGCAAGGCACCAACATCTACCCAGAAACTGGGGTCATCTTTGCTGCCACATCTAATCAGTCATTTTATCTGGTCAATTCTATCTCCTTAACAGCTCTGTCAGCATCTGTTTACTTCTCTCAATTTCAACTCCTATTGTGCAAGATTCTCATAACTGCATGTGAGCATGACTGGAACAGCCTCTTATACCACTTCTTTCCAATCACCCTCCATCCTTCTGCCAGACTAACCTCCTAAAATGTATATCCAACCTTCTCAATCTCCTGCTGAAATCAACTAGCTTCTCAGATCCTTCAGAACGAGTCCAAACTCCTTTAGCACTGGTTTACAGGCCTCTAATGCTCTCACCTGCTCTTGCCTCCCCAGTTTCATCTCTTATTGTTACTACTATGGGTAATTCACTCAAAGTTTAAAGGTATGTACTATGGATCCTATTTAGTCCTTATAACTATCTTCGAGTTAGACATTAAACGAATGCATTCCAGGGGCGCCAGCCCGGTGGTGCAAACGGTTAAGTGTGTGAGCTCCGCTGCAGCAGCCTGGGGTTCACCGGTTCGGATCCCAGGCAGGCACCAACGCACCGCTTGTCACGCCATGCTGTGGTGGCGTCCCATATAAAGTGGAGGAAGATGGGCATGGATGTTAGCCCAGGGCCAGTCTTCCTCACCAAAAAGAGGAGGATTGGCAGATGTTAGCTCAGGGCCAATCTTCCTCACACACACACAAAAAAAATGTATAAATGGAAAGACTGTGGGCACTCAGAAAAATTAGGTGAATTGCCCTAGGTTACAGAAAATCTATTGACAGACTACACCAACAAGTGCCTGGACAGAAGGCAGGGAGCAGGAGACAAAGAGAGAGATAAAGATGGCCCCTTTATATCTGTGGATTCTTTGTAGGCCATGACTATATCTTAATCATCTTTGATTCTTCTGACACTTAATAGATACTAACCAAATGTCTGCTTAACAAATGAACAATTAAGCGAATGAAGAGCAATTTGATGAGTCTTATTAGGTCTGTCTCAACTATTTGGAAAGAATTTCTAACATAACCAGGAAACTTAGGATGTCCTGAATATAATCAGATTTATAGATGTACAGGTGCTATAATATCTAGACATGGCAAGGACGATTTCTAATATAAGATAATGAATTAAAAAATATTTATAGTTTAGTGTAGGTGAGAAAATGGAGGAAGATGTAAATATTTAACATTTTAATTTTACCTTCCTGGCCTGCTCTTCAGCTCTTTCTTTTTTAATTTTTTCCAGTTCTGCAAGAAGGGCTGCAGTATCATCATCATCACTCTCCTCTTCAAAATCTTCATCTTCATCTTCCTCCTAAAAAAGAATGGTGATGGCCCAGGAGATTGGAGAGAAAATGCACATTATTCATATTTTTCCATAGATATTGCTCTTACCAAATCTTTGGGGCAGGATTAATTTTCCTACTGGGAAAGATAAATGCACCTAAATATGATTAAAATCAACAACCAACCAAAAAATAAAATAAAACTCCACAAATAAACGTATGAATTACTAAATGTCAACCCCTAATGTGTTTGAGAGATTATAACAGCAAACAGTATAACAGAATATCTTCTAAATTTACAAGATCGAAAGGGAATTTCCATATGAAGATATTTCTAAAATCAGAAAAGGAACACTTTACACCGAAACACAGTACATATATACATGGTATATCACCCTGAGAGTCAAATAATTCTACGTAGCTCAAAACAAGTTTAAGCTCGGAAGTAAGGATAATCAAAAGTACAAAAAAGGATGCTAAATTCTCAGAATTTTCAAATAAACAAACATTAAATCTCACTTAAAATTGGGTTCCCTTTAATTACTGAGTTAATGATTTAATTCAATCCATCAGCATTAGAATTAACTGCTGATATATGTGCTTAGTTAGATGCTACACATGAAAAGCCACTCAGATTTCTCCACTGTATGGAGAAAACTTCAAATTAATTATAGACTGTAGGGTCCCACTGAATTTTAATGTTAATTGAAATGCTAATCCTAAAAAATCTTCTACTAGCTCACTTCCTCCCTAAGCACAGAGGAAGCCACTAAGTGCACTGCACATCAGGAGGGGACATCTTTGGTATCTAACGGGGAAAGGCTCCTGGGTTCAAATCAAGGGGGTGTTATTGATAGAGAACCCAGGATGAAGGATGCCCTCTGGAGGTGTATAATACAGTAGTCAATCTCCAGGGTTTAATATAGGAAATTATTTTTTAGGGAAGCATATCCTTTAATAGATTACTTATTTGGTTCTCCAGAGATGAAATTTGTTCTCAAAGTTTAATTAATCAAAAATAATAAATAAATATTTTTTGTTTTAAAATCAACTATAAAGTTTAGCATTGAAATCAGGGCTACATTTGACTAACAGTAAGTAAAAATAAATACAGGTCACTTCTTAAAGCCAAAAGAATAAAAAAGGTAATCCAGGAAACATGATAAATAAATTACTATACGGAGATGAAAGGAGAAAACAGATCATACATCTGTTAGAGGATCATCTGCATCGAGGTTGGCCGCGGGAATCTGGTCTAACCGAGGCTTCTTTGATACTGAAGAGGAGGTTGTATGTTCTGGGGAAAAACAAACATCATTTAGCTTACTAAAACAAATACTGCATTTCCAATGACATTTTAGGGACCTGTGGGCACAAAGGGATTAGATTATAAGCATCATGACAGCAGGGATCAGAACCACAGTGCCTGGCAAATAAGCCCTTGGTAAATATTTGTTGAATGAATTAATCAAAGTTCTGATTTTAATATGGGAACTGCTACCTCTCTCAGGAAATTTAGGGAATAGTTTACATATGCTGAAAACATAAAAAAGATATTATAACTGATGCCCCTAGATGCTTTCCAATAGCCAGTAACAAAAATAGGAAACCCTCATAGAAACCACGGGGCCTCAAAAAGTCTGGCTGCTGTAAACAGTCAAAAACTTGATCTGAACTGAAACAATGGCTGCTAAATATCCCCAGATCACCCTGTTCTTTCTAACACAGAAACATAAAAAGATGAAACTGGAATCAACCTCATTTTCATCTCTAACATTTAAGAAAGTGTTACAGCTCACATCAATATTTTAAAGCAAACAAGCAAAAATACTAATCTGTTCTAATTAGCAAATGAAAGAAAAACAATTGTCGACATAATTTTATGAGACAAATGTCTGGGGTAGTGTTGATACCTCGGGTTGGACGATCTCTATTTTTTTCCCTCGCAGCAGCTCTCTCTCTCTCTTCCAACTCTCTCCTGAAGTCACGGTTCCTAACCTCTTCAGGGGCATCCTGAGTGGTCTGTCTAAAGTAAAAACAAATCACGGCAAAAATGTTACTAAGAGACACATGGCTGTAGCAATGGAAGACAATTCACAAAAAGTAACTGTCTCCTTGAGTCTTTCAAGCATAAAAAAGAGGGAACTAGACAAGTTCATTACCCTAATCTGAAGGTTACTAACAGGCATCCTTGCGATGTTTCTAATATTTCAAGAAGCCCAAACTCCATCACATATTTTCCCATAATAAGCCTGCAGATTGATTAAAACGTCTTCACTTTTTCTTAGTGTCACGTCAGCTCAGGGCCTGTTGCTGTAACACTTTTAACCTCATATTGATTAATGCTGATAGTGCTTGGTCCTTCTGAGGTAATGTATTAGCTATTGTTTCATCTACATATGGAAATTCCCAGTTAATAGGAATTTCTACATACGGAATATCTGGTAGCATTTTACAATCACAGACTGTAATTTTAGTGTTAAACATTCTATTGTATTCTACTCCTATGGAAACAGAAAACTTCAGTAATATAACCCAAACATGCTACTATCTCATGACCATGCCATTTAACAGATTTGGTCTTGCTTTGTAAACAAACAAACAAAAAAAATGAAAGCCTTCATTACCTATATTTTATCTTTGTATGAGAAGGTAGGTCTCGGCTTGAATACTGCTTTGAGAGTTGGCTCAAATCACCTTCTCCTTTTCCTCTCCCACCTCTCGCCGGTTCAAAGGTTGGCCTAGCTGCTGTGGTCATCTTTTATGCTTTGAAGAAAAATAGTATCAAGTTATTTCCAATATGACAAGCTCTCATTTCATAAAGTATTAATCAATATCCATCCTTGTGAAACATTTTCCAAAACTCATTCTCCAAAATTTACTTAAACAATCTCAAGCAAAAGTTCTCAAGAAAACAAATAATGAGGCTCAGAATACGGCTTCTTAGGCAGCTCTTATTTAGTGCAAAAAATTCCATCATGAAGATCTGGATTTGGGTTCCTGTCCTTCTGGCTCTGTGGCCTTGGGCAAGTCACCTAGCTGAATCTGCTGTGGAATGGGATATTCCTCACAGGATTACTATGAGAATTATGAGACTTAATGTGTCAAAGCCTCGAAAAATACAGTCCTGCCATGACTAAGTTTGAAAAATTCTCAGCTCAACCTTACTGTACCAGACTCCCTAAGGTCTGCATTTTATCTAAACCTCACACAACAGAAAGTAGGCTAGTAACTACAAAAACAAAAAAGATATTTAAAAAATCACTGACAAAGTTACTGAAACTGTGCTAAACTTCAATGCCAGTTACATAAGCTAAATTCTCCAACAACCTTCTTGTTGATCCAATTTTCTCCTACAGCGGCCATCATCATATACATTAGATCTTTTGTAGGTTATAATTTAAGGAATGCTCAAAAGACAGGAATCTCATCCGCAAAGGATTCTGATAAAAGAAGAGTCAGGGACCTATTCCTTATTGTTACTTTTGGTTCGGGCAGCCAAGAGAGTGCTGCCTGGCAGCTTCGTCTACCAAAACCTCGTTAGCGTCGGAAAAGCAAGTGTGTGGGGAAACGAGAGAACTGGTATACTCTACATTTTCAAAAAAGCAAAAGGGATGTAATGGAGAGACGGAGAAACAGGGTTTGCCGCCGCCTCTCACACACCCCCAGATAATACTCCTGCCTCCCGGGAGCTCGCCGCGGGCTGTCACCAGGAACTCGCGGACTCTTCCCCACGCCCGACTCCGCGGGGGTGGCGGGGCCCCGACCCTGCTTAACGCCGTCTGCAGAGCGGCCTTCACGCTGCGCTCTCCGCGGCCGGCCCAGGACGCTGGAAGCGCCCGACAGGACCCGGGTTCCGCCACCTGCCCGCCGCTCCGGGGCCTCTCCGCCGCCGACTCCAACCCCAATCGTCCTTTCCCGCCCCACTCGAATAAGGAAGACAATCCGCGGTCCTCCTGTCGCTCACGTTAGCCAAACTCCGATGCAGCAACCTCCGGAGATCATACAGACACCATTACGACTCTGGGCTCCCAGAAACCTCTGCGCCCAGGGCCAAGGCCCACGACCCGGAAACAAACTCCAAGCTCTTTAATCGCACTTCAGAGGCGGAGGCAGCGACCAATCCGCGGAGGCCAAGGTGGAAGTCGGCGTGACGACAACAAGGGGCGGGGCCGAAACAGCCCAGGGGGCGGGCGTTTGAAATCGGTCCTTTAGAGTAGACCTTAAACATAATTTTATACCCTGAAGAACCAATTACTTAATGTCTCTTCCGCCTTTTCCTTCCCCGACCCCCTCCCAGACTCCTTCATTCCCGTACTGCTGGGACGGAAAGCCCCGGGTAACCGACACCACGTCCCCGGCTAGCGAGAGAGAGCGTAGAGAAGGATTCCACCCAACCGTTTAAATCCGTCGGCTTCTGCTTCCTCTCTCCTGAGCTAGACCCAGCAAGCCTAGAGAGTTGGGCTACGGAAAAACTAGTGTTTTCATTTAATTGGATATGAAGAAAGAACAAATATGTACGGGGGCAACCACGATCTTTATAAAGGTACCATTCCTGCAAAAATATTAGCCTTCAAAACAAAGGTTGTATTCGTATTGTTCGTTAAAATTTTTATTTTTTAAAAAGCCTAAGTTCTAGTGGGAGGGGGAGATGTCACTCTTAGAGATTCGTTTATTTATTCACCCGACATCGAGCGTTTAGAACGGTGGGCCCAACTACCAGGAGCACAAGAATCAGTTATTATAACATGGCTACTCATGCGTTAGGTGAAGTTTTAATAAGACAACGAAAAGGAAAAAAAAGCCACCAATCCTCCTTTTTTTCTTCTCCGAAAAAGCACTCTTGGGGCAGGGATCTTGTTTGCTTAGTTCGTCTTAGTATCTCGTCACATAGTCCTTGGCCACAGTAGATGCTCAGTGAATATTTGTTAAACAAAAATTCAACTCCCTCAACTTAGTTTCAAATGTAAAGAGCTCATGAAATTGAACATTAAAAGCTTTTTTTCCAGAACTCTTTCTTTGAAACTTTTACATTAAAAAAAAAAAGGTAGAAAAAGTCGTGCCCCCCCCCCGCCCCGTAAAGTTCAAGATGAAAATCTTTCTTGATTTTTCTTACCAAAGGTATTCCTCCCCTAGTCTTACACATCTCAGTAAAGGACGCTACTATCATACTAGTTACTCAAAGCGAAAATCCCAAGGCTCCTACTCAAATTCCTTTTCCTTCACTCTTCACATCCAGTTCTTTTGAAAGTCTTGCTAATTGTACTTTCAAGATACACCCTAAATTTCATTCTACTGCTGCTACTCTAGTCCAAGCTGCCATCATTTTCCACCTGGATTGTAACTGCCTCCTAATAGATCTTCCTGCCTCTACTTTTGTCTTACAGTCAATTTTACATATAGCAGTGAGAGTGATCTTTCAAAATTAAGAATCAAGTAGTGTTACTTTCCTGCATAAAAATCCACTGCGCGTACAATAAAAATCAAATTTCTTTATGTGACCTGAGGCCCCATGGAGTCTGGCTTCTGCCTGCCTCCCTGACTTCACTTCTAATCAGTCACTCTCTTGCACACTAAGCTCTAGCCCCAGCCAACTGAGCATTTCTGTTTCACAAACAAGGAAAGATTCGTTTGCTCTAGCTTTTTCTCTGCTGCCTGTGCCCCAAGATAACTATGTTACCATCCTTCAAGTCTCAGCTCAAATGTCACCTCTTCAGTGAGGTTTCCCTGACATCTGCATTTGCACCCCCACCCGTCCAACACATAAATACATCACATCACCTTGATTTATTTTTTTATAGTACTAAACACTCCCTGAATTTATTCTGTTCATTATTTGGTTATTGCCTTGTTTCTTGTCTGAGAGGCTGCATAGCAAAGTCCTTAAGAAAAAGGGATCTACTGCCTGATGGTCTTGGTTCTAAATTCCAGTTCTGCCTTTCCCAGCTGTGTAAACTTAGGCAAGTTATTTTCCCTGTCTGTGCCCTCAGTTTCCTCATGCATACAATGGGGATAATTCTGGTCCCTCATGTTATTTTAAGGATTAAGTGAATTAATACTTGTAAAGTGCTTAGAACTGTCTCAGCAAACAGTACTTGCTAAATAAATGTTAGTTGTTATTATTATTAATATTATTTTTATTATTATTGTCTATCTTCCTATATTAGAACATAAGTTCCAGGAAAACAGGAACCTTGTCTCTCTTGTTCACTGGTGTATCCTCTGCATATAGAACAGTACCTGGCACATAATAGGTGCTGAGTAAGTATTTGTTGAATGAATGAATGAATGATGCACTATGAAGTGGAGGGATGAAATAACAATGGCAAGGTGGTGACACAATTATAGAAAATACCCCTGGTTTTATGTTCCAACTGCCCTTATCAGCCCTGAGTCAATTACCCCAATTCATTGAACTCCTAGCCCACCACCTAATCTTTTGATCACCAACCATGATTAAAAAACCACCCCTGTAGTTTCATTAACACCAACATATGATATAATCAGTCCACAATATCAAAAGCTTTGACTTAAATGGTCTGAAAGTATTGATAAGAAAAAGAACCTAAAAAGTTTTTACTTAAGTGATTTTAAAGTACTAATAAGAAAAGGAAACTGTAAAGGTATTGACATAGTTTGCAAGTATTAGAAAAAGAAACTGAAAATAAGTTTACTAAAAACTTAAAATTCACCATCAGCTACCTTTGCTGGCAAAAAATCATACATAACCTCCCCAAAGTTCTCATTTTAAACCCATTACTACAAAAATCTAGTTGGGCCCTTAATTCTGCCTGCTAATCCTCTTATACTCTCCTGTTTATTTTCCCATTCTGCAATAATATGATTTCCCACATTGCCGTTTCCTCAAATCTACACACCTCTTCCACCCTCTTTTCCCTCCTCATCCTCTTTCCCAGGAATGGATGATTTCCTGACTTCTCTGGGAAGACAGAAGCTCTTCAACAAGGACTCCTCGTCTCCCCCGCTGGCAGATCTAACAAGCTGCCTTTGACTGTACTCATACCCCCAGCTTTCCACATATTAGTAGAGATGAGGTGACCCAAGCCCTCTCCTTGTGCTCTGGGTCCCTATTCCTCCAGCCTTCTTAGTGGCTGGCATCCTACTGTATTTCACATCTCTCATAATCTATCAACCCATCCGCCAGCACTGCGTGGCCTCTAATAGAGCAGTGTAGGTCCACCCCCAGGAACCAAACCTGGGCCACCGAAGCAGAGTGCACTGAACTTAACCATTAGGCCACTGTGGCTGACCCTCTCGGATCATTCTTATCAGCTCTTGGATATGGTGTAGTATATCCTAACCTTAAAAAATGCTCCTTGGGCCAGCCCTGGTGGCCTAGTGGTTAAGTTTGGCATGCTCTGCCTCAGAGGCCGGGGTTTGAATCCGGGGTGCAGACCTCCACCATTTGTCTGTTAGCTGCCATGCTATGGCGGTGGCCCACATAAAACAGAAAAAAGGGGAAGATTGGCAACGGATGTTAGCTGAGGGGGAATCCTCCTCAGCAAAAAAAAAAAAAAAGCTCCTTCATTTTAATATGACAAAGGTATGTGAATGTGAAAAGGATGTTTTATATAATAACTGTGATTACAAAACTAGCTATTCTTATGGCAGGTTGTAATGTAGAAATTCCAGTTTCAAAGCTTGCACAAACACTACAGCAAGTTGAATTAAACACCCAAAAGGAAAAAAAGAAACATAAAAATCTAAAAAGAAAATTTAAAAGACTGTTTGTACAACCTAGGGTTTGTAAAGACCTTTTGATCAAGGCAGAATACCTAAGAGCTGTAAAAGAAATAACTTTAAAAATTCATCTATATAAAAATTTAATTTTATGGCAGAAGATGCCCAAAACAAAGTCAAAGATAAATGCTAGATTAGCAGGTAAATTCTATAATGCCTATAACATGTGAAAGGGTACTACTACTAGGACTACTAATAATATACATTATATAAAAAATACAAACAACTCGGTAAAAAATGAGCTAAGAATATAAACAGGCCATTCAAAAAAGCAATTTC